TTTTATCAATGATAGAGGCATGTTCAAGCTTTATATTCACAAAGACAAGCCTAGAGAGACTGTTCGTTAAGTATCACCAGTGATTTCAACAAAAAAAAATTTACTTTTTTGCAGATAGGAAAAAAAACAATATACAAGGTGGTGCGAAAGTCACTTTACTGAATAAAAATTCAATATCTTTATTACGGCTCGAGCAAAAGAGCTGATCTTTTCATTAGTGACAGAGGCATGTTCAAGCTTTATATATATAAAGACATGCCAAGAGAGACACTTTGTTAAGTATATTGGTTTTTTCTCGTATCTGTGAAAAAGTAAATTTTTTTTGTTGAAATCACTGGTGGTACTTAACGAACAGTCTCTTTAGGCTTGTCTTTGTGAATATAAAGCTTGAATATGCCTCTATCATTGATAAAAAAATCAGCTCGTTTGCTTCAGCCATAATGGAGATATTCGATTTTTTTTTTCGGTAAACTGACTTTTGAGCCACCCTGTAGATTTAAATAAAACAATTTTCTATGATAGAATACACATACGTTGTTGGTGTTAAACTGGATCTAAGAATCGAAATAAAAGAGCATATAGATTCTACAGGCTATTCTATCCTGCCCTGCTCGATTCCGACAGCGAGGGCAGGGTAGATTTTTTATTTTTACTTTTTCTGTTAACCGGGCAGAGTAGAAGAAGGACAGGGCACAGAGTAGGGCAGGGTACAAAAACTCACCCTGTGGACATTTCTATTGTTTATGTTGTTCGTTGAAATGATGTTCATAAACTTTGTATTTCATTTAGACAAGGTTTATGGTGATAGAATCGATGGAGAATGCAAGCTATTGTTGATAGGGAAGTTTCGACATAATTCAAATCAAATGAACGAGAAGAGTATGCATTCTTGAACAAAATTCTACATTAATATATAAAAACATTCTTTTAGTGTAAGACTATTTCGACAATGATTTCGATGATCTTTTATGTGCTTAAAGGATGGGGGACGTTTTGCATTGTTATCGGCCCCCATAGAAAACATGATCAGTTTTTCATGAAACGTTCAACAATTGTAGCGCTCATAGTCAGTATTCACTCCTATAAATTTCAGCTTGATCGATCAATACTTTGCCTTACTTTGGTGACTCGGCTGATAAGCTCTTAAGTGACCTATATTAGTGACCTTGTGTACCTTCGTTCTCCACTATATGATTCAGAACCATAGCCATTTTTTCAGCATCAATACTAAGCATCAAGAGCTTCAAAAGTTCTCGAACAAGTGCTTGCAAAAAAGCTGTCTTCTAGTCTTTTTCCATAGCATACCGTCCATCTTATGGCTAAAGTATGCGACAAGTAGCATCCGATATCTATAATATCAATTATTCCGAAGAGAAATAAATAATTTTCTAAGTGGATATTTCATGAGAAATGATACAGAGTTTTACTGTTTAGTTTATTGTAGTTCAAGTACAACAGATTAGATTCGAACTTTGTTTTAAGACACTGTAACGTAGTCTTTTGTCGAAATATCCACCTATATTTTTATTGGGTTTTACGATGACGAAGCAGTTTCTCATTGTTGATAATGGGTATTTCTACATGTATTCCCCTTCAGATCTATGCTTGCTGTTAGTT